TACACCGGGCAGTACGACTACGACTACGACAACGACGACGACGGGGCGAACGACACGGCGAAGAGAGACTCACGGATCGCCAAACCCAAGAAGAGAAATATTAGAGACAGGGAAAACTTGAAAGATCTCTTCTCGATATTGATGTCAAAGAAAATGGGGTCCGAATTCCTGGGTAAGAGAATGGGATCGGAGTTCTTAGGCAAGAGAATGGGATCCGAGTTCCTAGGGAAGAGAATGGGTTCGGAATTCCTCGGGAAGAGAGCAATGGGTTCGGAATTCCTCGGCAAAAGAGCGATGGGGTCCGAATTCTTGGGGAAGAGGGTCACGGGGTCCGAATTCTTAGGGAAGCGCGCCATGGGATCGGAATTCTTGGGAAAGAGAGGGATGGGTTCCGAATTCTTAGGGAAGAGAGCAATGGGTTTTCGGAAATTTTTAGGGAAGAGAGCAATGGGTTCGGAATTCTTAGGGAAAAGAGCAATGGGTTCGGAATTCTTAGGGAAGAGAGCAATGGGTTCAGAATTCTTAGGGAAGAGAGCAATGGGTTCGGAATTCCTTGGCAAACGCGCAATGGGATCAGAATTCCTTGGCAAGCGGGCAATGGGATCAGAATTCCTTGGCAAGCGGGCAATGGGATCAGAATTTCTAGGAAAGCGATTCGTACCAGGAAGTCTTGACTCTGCCTCAGTCGACACGAAGAGAGCCGTGGGATCAGAATTCCTCGGGTGAAGTAGCCATCGTACCGGAAGATAAAGCGACCCAACGTTTTATTCAAATCAAGCGGCGGGAAATTCCTTAACTGTGTTAATTGTTATTGAAACGAGGAAGTTTGTGATTCCTTTCATTTCCAATGTTTGTTTTTGTTTTTGTTTTTTAATATCATCTGTTTTCCCTTTTCGTTAACCCATCTGACAGATATAGCAGCGTATTTTGTCCTTTCCCAAAAGCCATCATTCACCCGCCATGTGGAGGAGGGATGGCGGGCGATCTCAGTGGCCAACGGAAACCGAACACTAATTAGGGGTTCCTTAACAAGCTGCTTCTGCGTGGCATTTGTAATTACAAACAATAATGATGATAATAAATCTCGGAAGTATTTAAAGACCATGTAACTACTGTAAAGACATGTTAGTGCCATTTATTTTTGTAAAATGCTTATGATCGTTCACAGGACGAGTTCTAAATGTAGCGAAAAGATTCAATAAAATTCTTTGTCATCCCTCAAATTCTTTTAATCAAGATTGAGTTTTTTCGTGTGTGGACAGCACAAGTCATGGCTACGTGGGTCTTCACTAGAGTAAGATACACAATGAAGATTCATTTATTGATATTTGAAAGTGGTACCATTACTATTGTTACATTCATCATAATTTGAATGATCATATATCTAAGGAGGACAAATTTTAATCTTTGTTTTAATTTCTGAAGAAGTAAGATGTTGCATTTGGAGTGTGGCATACTTTATCCTTCCCAAAATAAAACGTGAAACTGCAATATTACTTACTGTTAATAATTCCATTTCATACCCTCCTTTCATGGCAGAAACTTCCCATTTACTCATCTATTTACTTCTACTACTGTTTCTCATAATGGTTGGTGGCTGGCAGCTAAATATATGTATTTCACCGTTTTACATATATAGACGTGGCAAAACTTCAGATAATTTGTATATGAATTCTGAAACCTTTCTGTTCGATGAATCTCTTATTTTCGCCCATTTTCTCTATCCTTATCCCCCATCTTCTCTTTCGAATGCGATGATGGCTGGGTTTCTATAATTAAAAAAAAAAAGGAATTTTTCCCCTTTTTCATACAACTATTGCAGCTTTGGATGAGGGATAAGGTTAGACCTGACTAAATTCTAATATATACATATTCTCTATACATGAAATAAGGGTTTACAGCATCATGCAGAGCTAAAACAAATATATATAAACTGTTTTGTCCTTGCGCGCGGTCCATCACAGTCTCCAGTGCATCCATGTGCGTTGTGATACGAATGTATTGGTTGTGAATATGTCTGGACACACATTTTGCAGACATATCCAGTGGAGTTCACAGGTCGGAGGATTTTGCCCGATAATCCTGTATATAGGCGACAATTACGACTAACCATAATAAAGTATGAAACATTTGGTGAACATTCTTTCAATAGCCTTTCAGTGGAGACCAACCGACCTCTACCCATTTTGCTAACGTTTTCAGTGGTTTGTAATGATTGATTGATTGATTGATTGATTGATTTGTGTGTGGTGGTGTGTGTGTGTGGTGTGTGTGTGTGTGTGTGTGTGTGTGTGTGTGTGTGTGTGTGTGTGTGTGTGTGTGTGTGTGGTGTGTGTGTGTGTGTGTGTGTGTGTGTGTTGGTGTGTGTGTGCGCGCGCGCGTATTGATTATATATATATATATATATATATATATATATATATATATATATATATATATATATTATATTATATATATATATATATATATATATATGTATGTATATGTATATGTATATATATATATGCATATATACATATATTTATATATATGCATATATACATATATATACGCACACACACACACACACACACACACACACATATTATATATATATATATATATATAATATATATATATATATTATATATATATATATATATTATATATATATATATATATATATATATATACATATATCATATATACATAATATACATATATACATATATACATATATACATATATATACATATATACATATAATTACATATATACATATATACATATATTATATATTATATATATTCATATATACATATATATCTATATATATATATGGGTGTAAACATCATACCTGTTCAAAAGGATTTCTATCGTTTACTTGAAATATTCTGTAGAAACGAAGGTAACAACATTGATGGTCTGCAAGCTATCACTGAATTATAAAACAAAGGTAAAGGAAATGCCAGAGATTCCTTATTAATTAACATTCTGCATTATAGGGATATTTATACACATTCACCAAAATACATACAAACTTATCCCACAAGTATTGTATAGTCCAAGCTCATCTGAACGTGCACTCTCGATGCAAATTCATATAGAATGACTTTTGAGACAAGAATAAAAAAATATTGTGTAAAACTATTAAAACATGAGTATCTTCATCATGTCGGCCTAATACAATTTTCACAATAGCCTGTCATTATGGCATCAATCATTCACCAGCAGATGTACAGTTAAAAAAGTTTCTTTAAATATAACTATCACATCTTGAAAAAATACTGCAATGCATGTAAAAATATTGCACTCCTGGACAAAATCACAACATGTAGTTTAACAACGGAAGGAATCAAAAAGCTGTTAGAGAGGGCGTCATCTTGGGGCTTAAATCCTAGTCATTTCATAATAACTTCTTTTCTCAGTTTTGCTTGCTTCTTGTCGTCTAAAATAGTAACAGTGTTGAACCATTATTAAGTCATTTCTTCCAGACTACACTGTACTAACATGCCTAAGGTTCAATACTTTATGAAAAGGATTATAACAAATATATTTCCACCTCAGTTTTTTACATTTCATACTGTCATTTAAAATAATAGCTGAATGAGCTAAATTGATAGCTACATTTGACCAACAGGAACTAGGTTTAGCAACTGCAAACAGAAGCAATTTCTATATCAAATTAGCCCAGAACCTGGGATGCTCAATGGCCAAAATCCCTGAAATTCAAACCTCATTGTCTGTATAGCTTACCTAGTTGGCAATAGGAACTAAGTATTTACATTTGATCAACAGGAACTGATCTTTAATAACTACAGACAGAAGCAATTTCTATTTATGTCAAATCAGCCCAGAACCTTTGACGCTCAATGACCGAAGTCCCTGAAATTCAAACCTCGTAGTCTATCCCAAAAAATATTACAAAAATATCTCAGAGAGATAAAACTCTGATCATACAACCAAAGGCAAAATATACAATACTTAAAAAGTGTAAGATATGTACTATGATATATGCTGTAAAATTATAAAATCTCTAGAATGAAGACATATAATTCATCTTATGTATTATGAAATATATCAATATCCTATATGTCATTTCTGTACTTTCATTAATTCTGAACAGAATGGCAAAAGAGGGAAATTAGAATAAAAGAAGTACATTTAAAAATGAGGAATGTGGAAAAAATTGTACGAGAAAGATATTGTGACCATCTTTCAGTGATGACGGAAACATTAGCATTTTTTTAATGCAGATTACTAAAAGTGACAACAAAAATATGAAAACAACACTATAAGTACATTCACTCTGAAGAGTCCTTGAATACAGGTTAAACATTCATTGCATTAAAAATGCTACAAAATTTCTTTATCCTTGCAGTCCATCAAATATGAAGACTGTCACTAACCATTAACCAAAGCAAAGAACTTCCATGACAGTTACTCCCTGCAGTGTTGGATTTGCAACAGAATACGGGAATTTATCAAACCCATGACAAGCTGCCCCAACCTCGCCAGTAATTGACGTGGCAACAATTGCTCCCATGAATTCTGGGTAATACATACCAATCTGAAATAGGGCTAGTTCTGCAGCTTTATGAGGAGATAAACCAGACCTCATTCCTTCAACTGTTACCAAAGCTGGCATGAAGCGCATCATTACGTCTCCATCCCCTGTGGCTGCTGCACCTCCCACATGTCTGTCAACATAAGCTCCGCTGCCTGGAATCGGGGAATCTCCAACCCTACCGGGAATCTTGTGAGTGGCCCCATTAGTTGACGTTCCACCAGCAATGTGTCCTTGAGAATCTATGGCAATCATTCCAATAGTGTCGTGGTTCCTGGTATTAAAATTTTTCCCCTCTTGTGCAGTTGCCCATTTTTTACTTTTCTTTGATACATCTATAGGGGTATAGGGTCCACAACTTGCTGTGGGATCTGGCTGAACATTCTTCCAGTAATTAGGCTGGCAGGATTTTTCTTTCCAGTGCTCATGTATCTCAACAGAATTAGCAGTTGTCAAATTTTCTTCCTTGAATCCCATCTGGAGAGCAAACTCTGTAGCCTGATCTCCCACAAGCAATGTATGTGTTGTATGTTCAAGTACCATTCGAGCAACAGATATTGCACTCTTAACTCTCCGCAAGGCAGCAACTGCTCCTACATCGTGTGTTGTCCTGTATGAAAAGGATTAGCTATATGTAGTACTTCACATAAAAGATAACAAAGGTTTTTACAAAAGATGAATATTTACCAGACACTAAATATAAACCTTAAACATACGAAGTTCAGAATGCTTTACTCTCTAATTGCAACACATTATTGTCATCATATTACACAAAACTACATGATTACTACTAAAAATGTATAAAAATATTAAAGAATAGCTTACCCATCCATAATCATTGCATCCAATGTCGTCTCTCCATTTTCATCAGGACTTCCTCCAAAACCTACAGACCCATCACACTGCAGCTCCTCACACACAGAACATCCTTTCTCTACAGCATCTAAAGCCGAACCTTTGTCATTGTAGAGCACACTCCATGCTGTATACAAAGAATAAAGTATTTATATAATCTTCAATGAGTTTTCTTGCTAAAAGAAAATTAGCTAAATATCAGTTACTGAAGACTAAAATAACATGAAAGTTCTTACGAAACTAATAATATCAAATCAGAGGAACTACTGTGTGTGTGTGTGTGTGTGTGTGTGTGTGTGTGTGTGTGTGTGTGTGTGTGTGTGTGTGTGTGTGTGTGTGTGTGTGTGTGTGTGTGTGTGTGTGTGTGTGTGTGTGCGTGCGTGTGTGCGTGCGTGCGTGCGTGCGTGCGTGCGTGCGTGCGTGCGTGCGTGCGTGCGTGCGTGCGTCGTGCGTGCGTGCGTGCGTGCGTGCGTGCGTGCGTGCGTGCGTGCGTGCGTGTGTATGCGTGCGTGTATTTATCGTGTCAAATGAACAAACACAAACGCTTCTATAGTCCAAGTCTCATAATCTAGAGTACTAATAATCAGGAATATTAATTCATCAACACCCTTACCTTTTGCTGTTGAATTAACAAATGACCACGTATTTATCACAAGCGGCAGTAATATCTTTGGTGATTCTCTTCCTTGGACGTCATTACTCACGGCGGAAGTAACAGCCACAAGGGAATATACGGCTAAAATCCTCATTAGCTCCCCCTTCCACATGCTGACCGCCCTGTTGTGTTGTTTTGGCAATCAGCTGATGAGATAAACAAACATCCGATATCTGCATTTGGATTTGACTTCGTCTTCATTTATTAGACATTAAGTTTTAAAATACCGATAGTATACAAAAATTTGTATTTCTTATTAATTCTATGTATTCTTTATATAATTCGATATAGCCATGAAGTATGTAAGTCATTCTGATACTCATTTGTTATCTAAAACCGAAAGTCATACATCCAGACAAGTGGAAGAGTCAGCGTGATCTCGTCACATTGTCTTCCCATCTCAAATTTATACGTAGCTTTGACAGCATCAATGCAAGTATGAAAGCATGCTAGTATAATGTTAGAATTGCAACAGGGGTATATACTGTATAACCCTATTAACTAGAATAGAGATAATAACAATGATAATGTTGATACATACAATACGGAATGCATATTTCTGAATGCAAACTTTTTCTTTTTTTTATTATTATACTTTGGTGATTTTTTTCTAGTAGTTCTTCCTAATGAATCACGACGATATTGGTGTCGCTGGATTCCTCTCACCATCTACAATGCATTTATGTTGGTTTTATTGCGCGGAAATCCTTGGTACCTTCCATGCCCACTCCTGTTATCAGAGACAAGAATGTGGGGGCTCTGGGGGGTTCCGCACAATAAAACTAGAGAATGAGAGGAATCCAATGATACCAAAATCATTATGATCCGTTTGGCAGAACTTTTCCAAAAATTTACCAATACTCAATGTTCATTTTCTTTTTGTGTTCTTGGGTCGTTATGGCTATTCATAATAGGTGGGAATTGTGTAATAAATTTTAAAAATCAAATTAACAACTAGTAGTACTCAGAGAGTGCATACCTCCGCCAAGGCAATAGGATCACCCATACGGTATAAATACTCACACTTGAAGAATTACATTTAAATTGCCTCTTTCTCGAGTACAACGGTGACATATATAAAGGAAATAGGGGGAACTATGCAATCATTTTAAAAATTCCTGGATTGGGATCATGGTCCATATCACCACCAAAATTCAGAGGCATCTAAGTTAGACTAAGATACAAATTTAATGAAAGGGAAAAATCTGATAAAAATCTGTCTCTCTCAGAGTCGTATTTTCAGTTGGGGTAACTCATGCAATTATTTTTAAAATCCTGGATCCGGATCATGATCTGGTTCACCACCAAAACTCAATGGCATCTAAGTTAGGACTGGTTCCATAATTGATTACATAGTGCCAAGGAGGTCTACAAGTTCATTTTCAAGTATTTAAGTGGTGGAGATAAGCCTTTTACCAAAGCACCAAAGGCGAAGAGGCAACAACAGTCACTTGATGCAATGTCATTATTGCTGTTCATTGTCAACTAAAACTAATGTAAACGCAAATACCCTAGTAAATGTAAATGCGAGTACCCAAGTAAATGTAAATGTGAGTGCCTTACTGCATGTGGTTGCGAGTACCTACTGCTTTGTGTTGCTACTCCATTCTTTTCATCTAAATAAGGTACATACCTGTAGGCCAGAGATCAGAAGTATCAGCTTGTCCTTTCAATTTTGTTCTCTCAGTACCTTATGTGACGTAGATAAGACTTTCAGCTGTTACTCATGTGGAAGAGCTACTGATAATAGAATTTACAATGAACATCATGGTATTTTCAGATAGTTTAAGATTTTTTTTTTATCTAACCTTTCCGATTCAAATTTTAACCAGTAATTTCTTCATATTTCATCTAATCTTAATGCAGGATTTAAATGTAGGATTTGTTCATGTGTTGTCACATTATTTCACATAACAATCATTTATTATTGTGCTGTTTGAAAACAACTGTTTATCTAGACATACAACACCTGGG